CAAGCCAAGCGTGGTTCACCTTTAACCCCAGCACCTGGGAGGAGAGACAGATCTTTACGAGGTTAAGGCCAGTCTGGTCTATATAGTGGGTTCCAGGCCAGCCAGTGAGGCCCCTTTTGAAAGAAATCAATGACAACAAATAAATAAATTGGAGTCTTTTGGACAGGTTCTCTCAACTCCGGCAGGCCAATCCTCAAGGGCCTCAGGACTGAGGTCTTTCAAGTGACCTTCATTGCGTGTCTCCGGCCGGAAGCCATGTTAAATCCAGCTGTGTTTACTATTTGTTTCTCAAGGTATGCATTTCTTACCCTTCTCCGTACCGTGCCTAGGGACAGGCAACTTTACTTGCATTTCCTTCTAGGAAGGATGAGTTTCGTTTTGGTTTATATTCTCAGAGAAGGCTCGAGATTTAAGTGCAGATCTACCACTGGTCAGACCACCTGGGCTGGGGTCAGGCCACCTGGGCTGGTCCCCCGAAGGCTGAACGAGCAGGAGCTCCAGTTCCACAGGCTTCTTTGGTTTGTTTATCATGCCACATAGCCCAGGCTGCCCTCAAACTCTTGTCCCTCCATCTCCAGCCCCCTGAGCGCTGTAAGGCTTATAAGTCACATCCACAGACAGCAAAGGACCTGTCCTCGCTGCAGCAGAGAAATGTCCTCAGAAGTAAAGAAGATGCCATCTTAAAAATATTTAAGCATATTTCTTTTCTGTATACGAGTGGGTGTATGTATGCGCACTGCGTGCGTGCCTGGTGCCCACAGAGCTCAGAAGATACCGGATCCTCTAAAGTGCTGGGACTGGGGTGACAGACAGTTATGAGCTGACACATGGGCTCTGGGAACTGAATCCCTGCCCTCTCCAAGAGCAACAAGAGCATTTAGCCACTGAACAATCTCGCCAGCCCCAAGACGCAGCTTTATTAGGCATGCCTCACCATGGCTGGCTCATCCGCTTTTTAATTTCAGCACTGCTCCCTTTCCTGTCAACCGCCACAACGCCCTGAAGATTTACCAGCCCATCTCTTTCCCTCAGGTATTTTCAGAGAGGACCCCTGGTCCGTTATGTAAATTGTAGTTTTGTTCTGTTACTGTGAGAATACACCCTGATGGAGAAAGAGCAGCTGGGGGGGGGGGGGGGTTTACTTAGTCAGTTTACAATTCCACAAGACTATCACCGAAGGAAATCAAAGCAGGGATCGTAAGGTGGGCCTAGGCTATACTGTGTAATCTTGAAGGAAACCCAGTCTGTGTCACAGTCCAGAGCTGCCGCTGACCCCTGAAGCACAGCCCTGTTCCATTCTGAGTTTATTTAAACCTCAATCTAGAGCCTGCAAGATGGTTTCGTGAGTAGAGGTGCCTATGGCCAGGCCTGAGACACCCTAGTTTAATCCCCAGGACTCACACAGTAGAAGGACAGAATTTACTCTCCAGGTTTTCCCCTGACCCCCACCTGCCAGCCATGCGTGCAACGCCACCTCTTGCCATCAATAAATAAATGCAGTAAGAACTTTAAAGAATGAATTTCATTCAAATGCTACCGAAAACCTGCAGTTTGGATACTAGAATGGAGCCTCTTTTCTCCTTCCAGCGAGAAGCTCCTTAGATCCTCTAGCATGGTTTCTGTTGATACAGGACCTGGCCTTGGGAGGCCGTAGGTTTGCTCTTGCCTTCTTAGGTGACTAAGAAGGCAAGCACCAGAGCCATCCTCCACTCACCCGTTTCCACACATGCTCACTTACGGGGCAGAAACTCAGTCCTACAGCACGCATAGCAACTCAAACCAGGAAAATGAGGAACAGGTGTGAAAACATCCAGCGGCTTTGACCTCTGGGGCTGGGGCTAGGGGAGGTGCCCATCGATACTGGCTCTATTACACGGGAATTGGGAACAGTGGTCAGCAGATGGACTGCCTGGTCTTTTGATCTGAGCATGAGGAGGCAGAGGCTGCGGCCACACGGATATGCCCAGGCTGGAGGCGTTCGGCACTGCTGGGCTGGCATGGAGTCCCTCCCAGGAGTCGTGGCGATGGAAGCAGTAATGGCCATATCAGGTGCTGTAGTTCCTGTGGAGGACGCAGCCACTGTCCAGGGCATCTCGTGGAGGCTGCAGTGGTCTCAGAGCTCGAGCTGAAATCCAGGGTGGACACGGGTCCCACAGAGGAGGAGGTGACGGTCTGGGAAGTGCTGGGGGACTCCGTGGCTTTCTCGGAGACAGCGGTGGTCCCTGGAGGTGAGCTGGAGACCCTCATGTGCACAGACGTGGCGGAGGACGTGGTTGGGATGGACGCTGTCGTGCGTGGCTGCACAGTGTGGCGGAAGGCGTGACGTGTGCGGATGTCATCACAGGGCATGTGGAGGCAGGGTCACCGGGACGGCGAGCAAGGTGACCACGGGCATTTCACGAAGACCCTGTAGACACAAGGGCTTGGGCGGTTCGGAAGCTGAGGGGAGGAAGAGTCCCTAGCGGGACGGGAGGTTGGCCAGGATGTGCAGAAGCACAGCGCTGTCAACAATGGTAGCTTTCGAGCATTTGGCTTGGCTGAGGGAGGGAAATCTAGGCTGCCCCATCTGTGATTAGGGCAGAAACTGACCTAATAGATCTCATGCTGGGAGAAGAAAGAAACCCAAGAGCCAGCCAGCAGGAGGAGGCTCAGGGCAGAGAGAGCACCAGGTTGATGAGAGCCTGGGCTCCAGCCCCTGCCCTCTGGGTCCTGTGGTGACCTCCAGGAGGCACAGGGACACCTGCACACACGAAGAGAGTGTTTCCCCTCCAGACCTGCTCAGTACACGGCTGAGCTTCCTGTGGGCCCAGCCCTGCGCTCATTAAGAGACTTCCCTGTGTGGTTCAGGGCAGTAATTAGTGACAGGAGCTCCCAGGGGAGCAGGGCTCAGTGGGAAGGTTGGACACCAGGGGGAGAGGTTGTGGCTGCTGCCGCCCTTGTGATTGTGGACACCTATGCTGAGTCACATCTGCTCAGACAACTGAAAACGACACATCCTTCTCCTCTTCATCTGGGAGTCCCTGCCCACCAGGGGCTTTACCAGGGCCTAAGTCTGGGGTCCCTCTGGCCTCTGAGGTACCTATTTTCTGAACCCCAGCTTCCATTCTGCCCCCATCAGAGCCTGTCCCCCACATGGGACATCGAGGAAGACCTTTGGGCCAGAAGCAACCCAGATAACTCAGGACCACCCACTTCAGGGCTGGGGATGGCTGACCTCGAGAGACCTCCCACTATCCAGAAATAAAGAGACAAAAGGGGCACCTAAAGACCTGTGACCCCACTGCCTGGTTGAGGATGGGGTCTGGTGAGGAGGCCTATGCTACGCTGGACTGCCTTGGCAGCCACCTTTCTCCAGGGACAGTGGACATCATGGCTCTGTGGGTGATGGGCAAAGTTCTGTGGATCTCATAGGTTGGGCATCTTAACAGAGAGACATGGCTGCTTATAAATGCTGGTTTAATTGTCCAGGTTATTTAATCTGAACAGCACTTCCTGCTTACTCAGTACTTCCTGTATGCACAGCACTTCCTGTGATGACTCTTGAGGAAGTCTTCTAGTGTTCCTGCATTGTGTCTCAGGCGGGAACCTTGTCCTACATGTCTTTGTATCAACAGCCCATATATAATGGATGTTTAAAAGTGCGGCTTATGGGCTAGAGAGGCGGCCCAGCAGTTAAGAGCATGCACTGTTTTTACAGAGACAGGAGTTTGGTTCACAACACCCATACCGGGTAGCTCATAAGCACCAGGAGAATCTGGTGCCCTCTTCTGGCCTCTGTGAGCAACTGCATATGTGCAGGCAAACACACACACACACACACACACACACACACACACACTCACTCACTCACAGTCTAAAAAGAAGGAAACAGAACCTTTTACCAACCTGAATTCCCCACCCCCCTAGTTTTGTCACCTGCAAATAAATCCACACTAGATTAAAATGAGCTTTTGCCAAAATCCAGAAACAGATATTTTAGAGATAGAAGTCTGTCTCCTCTCTCTGCCCCTTTCAAAGAACTCCTGTCCTGCCCTCCAACCTCCCCTGCCCAGGGTCACCCAGAGGGTCACCGAGCCAGGGACACGAGCCTGTTCTTCCACCTGAGAATTTACGGAGTGCGGACGTTACATTATGCTTTATTAGAGAAACCCAGCAGAGGGCACCTGCTCACCTGCCTGTCTTTGCCAGGTAAGAAGAATGGGATAAGCTGGAAACAAAAATCCCCAGAGCACACGGAGACTAACTGCCTGTAAGAAGGGGAGTGAGCATGTGGTGGGAGAGCGAGGAGAGGGGCTGTAAGGTGAAGCCAGCACCGGCTGAAGGCCGAAGGACGCAGGAATGCAGCTACTGGGCAGGTTGGGGAGCAGGCTGTGTGGGCGAGACCGCAGGCAAACCCACACCCAACCACGAACGGGAGCCCACCACTGACATCCAGAAAACCAAGGGACCTGGCGAGGAAGCGGGCGCAGCCGTGGGGTGGAGGAGTTTTGTGGTCTCTGTCTGTCTGTCTATCTGTCTGTGTCTCTCTCTTTGGTGATGGAGAGAACAGAAAAGAAAATCTTTCTTTTCTTCCTTTATTCTTGGGCTCTTTTTTAATTAAGAAAAAGATACGATCTGGTATCTCGGAAATTCGGAGGTGTGTGCGTCTTAAGTGGGTGTGGACAGAATTGCTATAAATCAGTTCTTTAGCCTGGGCGCGCGCCTCCGCTCCCGCAGCGTCCCCGGCCTTCGAGCGGCCTAGGCCTCCCTAGCCACGCCCCCCCGGACCTCGGGGGCGGGGTTCCCCACGGGCCCCGCCCCACCGCTTTGGAGCGGAGCGCGCGCATCGCGAGTCCTTCCTTCTCTTTCCTCCGAGGGTCACTCTGTCACCCTCGCCACCTTGTTCTTCGAGATGTCAGTGAAGACCCCGGCCGATGGGTCTGTCAGTTTCGCTCCCCTTTCCGAGTCCGCGAAGTTGGGGTCCTGGGCCCAGCTCTTTCAGGAAGGGGCGAAGCCTGGAAGAGCTGGGGTGCAGTCTCAAGGGCATGGAGGGGTCGGGATCTGGTTTGGTTTCAAGTTCTGCTGCTCCATCAGGTAGACGGGGTAGGAGTTGTGGCCCCCAATGTCCTCGGGGTCGGAGTCCTCGGAGTTCCGGCTCAGCACGTGGCGTGCGCGCGAGGCGCAGGAGACCTGCGGAGACAGGGGGAGGGGGAGGCAGGGGGAGGGGAGGGGGAGAGGCCAGCTCTTTGATTTCCTCACCCGCCCCCAGGGCGTCCTCGCTGGGCCTGTGCCTCTGCCCTTCTCCTTGTCCAAGATTCTAGCCAAGCCTTGGTCCATGTTCCAGACCTGGATTCCAGAGTCCAGGTCCCACCCACAACCGGCCCCGCCCCGCCCACCTTCCCCTATAGAGCCGGCCCCGCCCACCTTGCCCCTGTATCTCCACCTCACACCCACGACTTTTACCAACTTCCCGAGTTTCTCGCTCACCGCCCCCCCAGCCCCAGCCTTCTTGCGCAGCTGCTCATGGATTTTGCTCTTTCTCGCTTTCACTCGGAGCCCACTATCTCTCTAACCCTGACCTCACTCTCCTCTCAGTCTCTCTCTGCCTCCTCCCCGCCCCCGTTGCCCTTACCAAGAAGATCAGGCCCAGGGAGACCAGAAGGACGATCACGGCCAGGAGGATCACGATAACTATGGCCCACGCGGGGAAGGAATCGGCCCCCCGCCTCGCCCCAGCAGCGTGGGGGCCCGCGGGGGAGCTGTGGGTGCTCTGCCGGGGTCGGGGGGGTCCCGAGGGGGTGGGGAAGCCCACGTCCGTCCTAGTTGTCACAATACCAAGGACTCCTGGGTGCGTGGTCTCGAAATGAGGAGGGGGAGCCGTGGCCTTGTCTGCCGTGGCCTTGCCTGCCGTGGCCTGGGCTGGGCTTCCCGTGGCTTTTACGGTCTTGGCGGCTGGTGTGGTTTTCTCCAGGGAACCCGTGGGACTCTCTGAGACTTTGGGGGCTTTCTGGGTGGTGGGTGAGGCCTCTTCTGAGTGGTCTGTAGGCTCCGCTGAGGCGTGTGTTGTGTTTTCGCTGGCCGGTGTGGTACTATGTTCTATAGGCATCACTTGGGCATGCGTGGTGCCCTCAGTAGCTGATGTGGTTTCTCCCTTGTGCTGTGCCGGTGTCGTTGGGGCTCTTGCGGTCCCATTGGCGGCCTCGCTCTGTCTTTCGCGGTCGGTAAGCGTCACCAGAGCCTGCGTGGCCGTTACGGTCTCTCTTTCATACTTGGTGGGTGTTAGGGATCTTGTGGCCTCCTCCTTGGTGGACGTGTTATCTACCTTATGCTCTGCTGACGTCACCGGGGGATTGGTCGTCTTGCTGGCCGACGTGCTGCGTTTGGCGTGTTCTGTGGTGGTGTGGACAGGCTTGTCTGAGGCCGATGGAGCCCTGTGGTCGTCAGCTCCCGGGGTTCCTGGGGTCGCTTCTGTGGACTTTACCGAGGAGGGAGGGCTTTTCCTGAGCTCTGAGTCGTGGGGACGAGTCGTGGGCTTGTGCGAGGCGGTGCTCACCGGGCTGCTGGCCTCCACAGGGCCCACTGGCGTCCCCGAGTTCCTTGTGACCCTGCTTTTGCTTGTGGTGGATTTGCACACCGTGGTTCTCCGGGGCGCCGAGGTCGGGCGTTTTCCCCCTGACCCTTTCTCCGTGAGGGTGGACTTGGGGTCGTCAGCTGAGCGTCCGTTCCGGACCATCGGGTCTTCTTTCGGGCTGCTGACCTTCTTTTCCAAGGCGGGAGGCTTTTCATGATCATCGGTGGCGCCCGGGGAGTCTGTGGCTTTGGAGTCGTCCACGGGTCTGTGGACGGGTTTGGCGAGGCGGCTGACGTTGCACGGCTTTCTGGGCTTCTGGGTTGCCGCAGGCTTCGGGAGGTCCGGAAGCCGTCGTCCTGAGTTCGGGTCTGCGTGCTCAGAAGGAGCTCTGTGAGGAAGGCCCGGGGGAGGGGGAGGTGAAGGCTCAGCTGCTGGAGGTTCGCCAGTCTTCTGAAGCTCCGGGAACGCCTTAGCACCTGGGGAGAGAGAGGGAGGTGAGAAACCACCCGCCTTCTGGCCTGCTTCTGCAGTAGGAATCCTCAGGAAGGCTCACTGGAATTCCACACTGCAACCCCGCTCTCACCTCGAGCTGAGGAACCTTCGCTTACACTGAACCTCAAGAGGACTGCAGCCTCTCTCCTTTCCCACATTCTCTCGGGCTCGGCATCCTTCCTGCTTCCTCTAAGCAGCTAAGATCTAGACTCATCTCTCATTGGTCAATATGGTCTCTCCCACGCACCCTGTGGGCGCTGCTTGGACATTTCTGGTCCTCCCATTGGCTGACACGCTGTCAATCAAAACCATCTCTCTTTCCGCCTTTCATTCGCTTGTGTGTCTGCCAGCATCCACTCCCCAGCACATCTATCCAACCTTGAGGTTTTGAGAGCAGGGCAGACTGGTATTTTATTGTTGGGTGTTCTAGGACTCCGTGTGGTCGGGAGGTTTTGAGAGCAGGGCAGACTGGTGTTTTATTGTTGGGTGTTCTAGAACTCCGTGTGGTCGGGAGAGCTGAGAGGGAACAGAATCCATGCCAGAACCTTTGTCTCTCTGTAACATCCACTTCCGTCCCAGAAGTGACAGTATGAGAAACCGAGACACACTTCCGGCAGAACTTCCTGGGCAGAAAGCTTGTGAGAGGAGGGTAAGATGGAAGAGGGTGAGGGAGAAGGATGGGAAACCCCGATTCTGGTGATGCAGGTTGCTCTGAGTGGGGGGAGGGAGATATGGCAGCTCAGCCGCTGTAATCTTCCCTTGCTGGGTAGATTCTTCTCTCTGGGAACAGAGGAGCATGACTCTCTCTACAGAAAAGGGTCTGTCCTTGTGGGAACTGCAGCAGTGAGCAAGGCAGCTGGATTCTGGGAGTACTTCTATTTGGAGACAGGGTGTGAAGGAAAACGCCCGAATCAGCGGACAGACAGGGGCCTTGAGTCAACGAAAACAGTAACTGGATAGGGACAGAGGAAGCGTCTCCGATTCTGACCAGAATAAGGAGAGCCAGGAGATGAGCAGGGAGGAAAGAGACATAACTGAGATTGTCAGCCATGTTGGCCCAAGGTGGCACCCAGCCTCTGGACCCATTCCCTGTCATGGGAAACAGATCCATTCCCCTTCCACTGATGAGAATGGGGGCTGGGAATTCAGTCCTGGAGAGAGACATGGGGAGAGTGGACAGCAAGGGGGTGAGAGAGTACAGAAGCCCAAGCCCCATGAGGGACCGAGTCGGCAGGAGGAGGCCTCAGGGTCTCCGCTCTCCTGTGCCCTGAGCAGCACTCTCCCCTCAGTGCCGGGGAACAGCATTTCCGGGCGCCGGAGCGCAGATCCAGACTGCCCCACAGGAGTCAAATGCTTAGCCGCCAGGTTGGCCACACGGGAGGCCGGGCGCTCCATCTCTTCACAGAGACAGCCTTTCATGACTGAGCTTTCGGCCCTCACCAGGCTCTTAGAAGCTGCCAGTCTCCCCGTTTCCCCAGATATGGCACTGGAATGTCATGGAGAAAGTTCCGGCTGCTCAGCAATAGCAGCGTAACTTTATTTCCCATGAGCCTCATTCACTTGTCCCCAAAACCGCTCGAGAGTGGGAACTATTTTCCGTTCTCCCAGCTTTACACCCGAGGGAACAGGGTTCGGAGAGGCTGGGTAATCTCAGAGACACTGAGCAAGTAGGGTGGAGGCTGCCAGCCCCAGACTGGCTAAGACCCGGTTCCCAGCGCGGGGCCGGTCTCCGGGACAGGCAAGGGCACAGCTGGCGTCTGCAGTACACCGCTTACGGGTCTGTTTATTTTATCTTTTTCACAAGCCCACGATGTAGGAGTTATCACCGCACATTTCCCAGGCCAGGAAAAACTTGCAAGTCTAGCTGGCACGGCCAGGTCCGCTACACTCCATGTTCCAGACACGATAAGCGACCGATAGAGACGGCAAGGGAACAAACAAGCCAGCCATGGCGGAGAGCGGGGGATTCCACTGGCCTTGCAGAATTGAGGGACAAGGCTTTGTGCGGGCTTTGTGCATCAACTTTGTCCTCGCTGAGGCCGCCTCTGTGCTTGGAAGCTCAGAATAGCAGCCTCCCTGTGACAGGCAACGCCACAAATACTGGATTGTCAGAGGAAACAGTAGTTCGAGATGGTTGAAAAGACTTTAGAATGCCAACTGCTTTCTACCATGCACATTAAGAAAAACAACAACGCCTGTGATCCCAGCACTCAGGAGGCAGAGGCAGGTGGATCTCAGTGAGTTCAAGGCCAGCCTGGTCTACAAAGTGAGTCCAGGACAGCCAGGGCTACACAGAGAAACCCTGTCTCTACAATAATTAAAAAAAAGAAAGAAAGAAAGAAAGAAAGAAAGAAAGAAAGAAAGAAAGAAAAAGAAAGAAAGAAAAGAAAAACAACAACAAATGTATTTGTGGCTTCTAAAGGTTGGAAAAGCCAGAAGCGACATCTGCCGTGTCAAGTCACTGGCTTCCGAAGATGAGCAACAGAAGGAAGGTGGCTGACCACCAAGTCTGGGGGTGTCAGTTATCTTTTTAACTTATTAATTAATTAATTAATTAATTAACTAACTAACTAACTAACTTATTTTGAGGCAAGTTCTCATGTAGCCCAGGCTGGACCTGAGATTGCTACGTAGGCCAGGATGACCTTGAACACTTGAGCCTCCTGTGTCTACCTCCCTGGTGTTAGGATTACAGGTGTGCACCCCCATGGAGTGGGAACGTTATTCAGGGCGTGCTTGGCAAGAACCTTACCACTGTAGCCGCATCTCCAGCCTGGTCCCGACATGCCTGTCCACGCTGAATCTGTGTGCTGCCCCCCTCGGGCAGGCGCTGGGGTTCTACACCTGCCTGAGTCTGGGCATTACCAGGTCGGGCAGGCAGGGGCTGAGCCACACCGAGCGGTGTTCCCGGGGCCTCGCCCACCCGGGTGACCTCCTCTCTCCCTCTTCTCTCTCTTCTGTTCACAGCCGTGTGCCCAGCCCTGGCCCACACCCCAGACTCCATCCCACCCCTCGTGTCACCATCTCTGTGTGCCTCCATCCTCTCCCCGCACCCTGCCTCACCAAGCTCAAGGGTGCTCCCTGACCACACCCATCATGACCGCTGTACCCCGCCTCTGTCCAGGTGACCATAGCGAGCCTGCTTTAGCTCTGCGCCCCCGCCCCCCCCCGTAGGTTTCCTGTGCAGCAGCTTGACCCCGGTGGACCTCAGCTGTCACAGGAAGGGAAGCGGGAAGCTCAGGAACAGGGGAGCTGAGACCAGAGCCCAGTGCCCTGCTGCAGGACCCTCTGGGTAGGAGCACGGATGTCAGCTCAGGACGCCGACAGAGCACCCTGTAGAGGGCTGTCCGAGGTGCTGAGTCTCGGCTCCCGCCCCTGCCATTCCATGGGACCCTGGAGCCTTTGTTTGTTTGTTTTTGTTTTTGAAGGTAGGGTTTCTCTGTGTAGCCATGGCTGTCCTGGACTCACTTTGTCCAGGCTGGCCTCAAACTCACAGAGATCCTCCTGCTTGCTCTGCCCCCAGAAGCATCCAGAAGCACCCCGCCCCCACATTCCTCTAACATCTGTTAGAGATGTGGGTGCCCTGCCTTTTTGTCTACACGATGAAGACCCTCCTGTAGATGCCTGGGCCCCCTCGGTGTGCCCCTTCATTTGGCATCTCTGCTCCCTCACGCTGCCCCAGCGCTGTCTGTTACCTAAGTGAACCGACTCAACGATGCTGCCTCCACCCCCGGCATCCGTCATGCCAGGTGGACTTCTCCCACCCAAGCCTTGGGGTGTTTTAGACGGGGACAGAACCTCATTGAGCTGCCATGAGGGTTAAGTGTCTAAACACGGACAAAGCCCTCAGAGCCATGCCTGGTGCAGAGTGCTGTGTGCCCAGGGGCTGGCTGGCAGCACCTTCCTGCTTCACCGTCGGCTAGTGAGCTAAGTGGCTGAGTCAAGTCGAGGTCCAGTCTGCACAGAGCTCTCTGGAGCCCACCCCATGCCCCTGCCCCCAAAGCTTGCCCCCTCCAGCCATGTGATTTGGGGCGGTTCCCTTGCTCCCCAAGTTTCTCCTCCACTGGAAGATGGACGTTGAGGTGATGGGAGATGAAGTCCGGTGAGCATCGGTGAGCTCCTTACGTGTAGTTATGTGTAGTTAGTGGCCCGGGTGTGCCTGCTCCCTCCCCATCCCCAAAACTGAGCCCACACAGTGCCTTCATGCAAGCTTGAGGCTCTGGGCAGGCGGAGCCCTCGAGACCTCGTGTCAAAACAGACAGCAGAATCAAGATTCCTCTCCTGTATGTCGTGAACGCCGCAACCCTTCACGACACCCAGGCCACTTGCCTGCGCTCCCTCCTGTGACTGGCAACCCGGCCCCATCCATACCGAGAAAGAAGCCCTTCGTGATTTTGAACCCCCACCCCTCATAATGGTGACCCCTTTACCTCTCTGGGCATCTTACCTGCCTCCCAAGAAGCTGGAAGGAAGAGGAGGCAGCAGAGGAAGCCAAAAGTGGGACAGAGACCACTGGTCAGCTGAGCCATGTCACAGCTGGGTGGCTGGCCGGGGACCCTGCATCTTATAAGGGGTCAGGTTTGACGTCATGGGGGCTGGGGCTGCTCTGAACTAAGCCCTAAGCAAATGGAGCTGCCCCACCCGTCGGGGGTGCCCTGATAGTGGGAGACCGCAGCTGTGTCATGGAGCTAGGCACCTGGGTTCCACCAAAGGGTGGGAGCTGGGGGCACGGAAGGGATTTGGGTGGGTGCCCAGCTGGCCTCCTGACCCAGCCCCTGCAGAAGGAAGGGCTTGCCCTGGGTGGCCCGCAGGCTCGGCGCCAATGTCCATGTTCTGGAAGGATTGGACGGCGCACTGGACCTGTCTGCGCTCTGGGAGGAGGCACACTCACCCTCCGGTGTCTCTGGCGCCAGCCGCTCCACACCCCTTACCCACACATGGTCACTCTCTGCCCAGGGTGGAGCTGTCCCCAAGACCGGGTGAAAGAGCAGTGAAGGGGCAGCCCTCATGTGGCACACAGGCAGCTGCGCTTAGGTGTGTAAGATGATGGCACAGACCGTGGGGGCAGCTGAGGCAGCGGCAGGGACAAGACAGGCAGGGGGGGCGTCACAGGTCTGGCCTGCAGGGATGTCTGTCCTGCCTGTCCCTCTCCTACCAGCCCAGCCCAGCAGCTGCCTCGGCCGCAAAGCTACATCTACCCCTATAGCATGTGGACCCCCTACAGAATGTGGACCCCCTATAGCACGTGGACCTCCTATAGCCTGTGGACCCCCTACAGAATGTGGACCCCCCTATAGAATGTGGACCCCTATAGCATGTGGACCCCATACAGAATGTGGACCCCCTACAGAATGTGGACCCCCTACAGAATGTGGACCTCCTACAGAATGTGGACCCCATACAGAATGTGGACCTCCAATAGCATGTGGACCCCATTTTCTAGAAGCTCTGCCGCCCATTCTCACTTCCATATTCCCTTTGAACCCCACACCCGAGACTTCACCCATGCCCGCCTAAAGCAAGCATCAGTTTAGACAGCAGCTCCGCTGGGGCTCCTGGGGAAAGGGGGGCCCACCCCTCCTTAGAGCTGTTCTGGGGAAAGGGGGGGAGCCCCCACCCCTCCCTAAAGCTGCTTTACTTGAGAGCCTCCCACACTGAGCGCCCTGGGGCGATGTCTTTGTCCCTATCACCTCCGAAGCCCAGTGTCTTGCACAGTCAATCAGCGGTCCTTTGCCGGTGTTGGGGAGGGGGCTCAGGGGAGAGTGCTTGCCGTGGGCTCAAACCCCCAGCACCCTAAGGAATGTGCATCTCCTGGTGGGTTGGGAGCAGGGCTGTTGCTCCCTGAGGAAACTGGGTAGCAGAGGGTTTGGACAGAGCTGAGACCAGGGTGGGAGGCCAGGCGCTGTGGCCGTGGAGACTCACAAGGACTCCCGGTCTGACGTGATTAGGGCCTACACCCTAGGCAGGTCTGCACCAGGGAAGTGGAGAGGAGGCCAGGTGCCTGATGGCTCAGCTAATGAAAGGTTAATGAGCCCTCGTGGGTGGGTCAGAGACTGGTGGCTCAGAACTGGGCAGCCTGAGGAGCTCACAGCGAGGCCTGCAGCATGAGGAAACTGAGGCAGACAGGACTTTCCCGGGCTCCTCCAGGAGCCATTCTTGCCCCAGAGTGGTGACAGGAGGTGGCTGGGGATGCTACTGGCCATCTGTATGGCTTGGAATGCCTTCCAAGATGAAGAACTGTCCAGCCTGGGTGTCAGTAGTGTCAAGGGTGAGGAGTTCTTAGAATAAGCATCAACCAGCACTGTGCACAAACACCCTCTTCCCACTTGGCTCACAACTCATGGAAGACCCAGGCGTCTGGAGAGGAGGAACCTGGGATAGGTGGAGGCCAGCAGCCTCTCAGTTTTTAAAAATAACTCGCTGTCATTCCCTTTTTTAATATGTATATTCTAAAGTGTATGGCTGTTTGGCCTGCACGCCTGTCTGTGCGCCACCTTTGTGCGGTCCCCACGGAGGCAGAATAGAGTTGGAGCCCCTGGAACTGGGGCTGCAAACAGCTGTGAGCCTTCGTGTGGGTGCTGGGAATTAACCCTGGTCCTCTGGGCACGGAGCCAGCGTCCTCAACCTCTCCAGCCCCATCCCTAATTTATTTTTAAAATTTTTGTTTTCTTTGCTTGGCTTAATTCTCTCTTAATCTCAATCTCTCTCTCTCTCTCTCTTTCTCTCTCTCTGTTGTTCTGAGACAAGATGTCCTGCACTCCAAGCTGGTTAATGCCTGGCTCAATTGTTTTGTTTTTGGAGGCAGGGTCTCAGTATCTTGTCTTGGCTGACCTGGAACTCGTTATGGATTCCAGGCTGGCCTCCAACTGGTGGCTAACTCCTGCCTCTGCCGCCTGAGTGCGGAGCTTACTGGTAGAACATACCATGCCTGTTCCGAGATGACACTTCACAGTCTCGAGAGGTGACTGAGCTGGAGGCAGAGGGGCCAGCCACAGGGTCCGCTGGACTCCTGGAGGCCAAGCGCCTCTGTGTATCTAAACACCTCACCATGAAAACTGATGAGGTCAGCCTCGCCATCTTGTTTTTTTCCAGATGAGAGCATAAGAGCCTGGCTGCAGGGGCGGACTTGCTGAAGCTGTACCTGGGGGGAGGCAGAAACCAGCCTTTGCTCAGGGTCTGCTCGGCTGTGAAGCCCACCTGGGAGACAAGTGGAGGGAGGCTCTGCCGTCACCCCTGTGGAGTGGCCCAAGGGACACCACAGGGCAGGTGGGACATCCCCTCCTGCCTCGAAGGGAGAAAGTTGGATGGGGGAACCCTGGGGACCAGCATGGGGCAAAGGAAAGGGGCTTTCAGCAGGGAAGTGTTGTGGGCTAAAGAGCTTGTGTGACATTTGGGGGAGGAGGGGTTTGAGCGGCAGGAAGGGGTGAGGGTTCTAACGGACCCCCTCCATGACAGGTTAGGGATGGTCCCGCCATCCCGAAAGAGCATCTTCCGGCTGTGAGTCTTTGTCCTGTGGCCCCCTGCCTCGCGCTGGGGACTGAAGCTGGGGTCTACTGTTGAGCTCAGACCCAACTCCTGTTTGTTTCTCTGCCTCACATCATTTTGTTTTGTTGTCTTGTTTTTGTCTCTTACACCAGCTGGAGCTGGCTGGGCCAGTGAGAACAACCCCTTCCCTTTCTCAGGTTGGCAGAGATGGCCACCGTCACCCTAGGTGCCAGGTCTATGAGACAGAGAGAGGGCACAGACGGAGTCTCGGAATGGGACCCGTCGCCTGTGATGCCAAGCATGGCTTGCAGCTGCTACCACGATAACATGAAAGGTTATCAGTTGGGTCAGCATCTCCCTACCATGGGCCTGGCCACCTCCACCACTTACAGAGAATCTCTGTAAGTTTGGGGCCAGCCTGGTCTACAGAGAGAGTTCAGGACAGCCAGGGCCACACAGAGAAACCCTGTCTTCAAAAAACCAAACAGTTATTACTAAGCCCATTGGTCCAAACATGGGGACCTGTGTTCCATCTGCAGCACCCGTGTGAAAGGCCTGGCATAGGGGCTGGAGAGACAGCCTAGGGGTTCAGAACTCTGTTGCTCTTCCAGAGGACGCGGGTTCGATCCCCAGCACCCACACAGTAGCTCCCACCCTCCTGTTGCTCTGGTTCTGGGGGATCGATGCCCTCTTCTGGCCTCTGTGAGCATCACGCAGGTGCTGTCCACACACATGTACAGCACAGCACTCACACACATACATAAGGTGGAAGGTCCTCACCGCCTGGAAAGGCGCTGAGGCTGGGGGAGGAGCCAGGCCTCATCCGCCCCTCCCTGGGGCCCGCATTCCAGAGCCCTTCCAGCAGTTAATCATTAAGCCTCCAAGAGCCGCTGAAGGACCCAGGCTTAGGTGGGGCCCAGATATCTGTGGGAGCCCCCCAACCCCCTCCTCCCACCTCTCCTCAAGCACCCTCTCCTAAGGTCTGAAGCAAACAGTGGGGGGGGGGCTGCCCTCCAATTACCCAGGTGTCCATGCGTGGCCCTCCCCAGGCTCATGAGGACCGCTGGGGGGGAGACTGGAAAATCCAGTTGCCAGCACTGGTGCTGAGGCCCCGGGAGAAGAGAGGCCGTAAGCCGCAATGGCGTCTTCAGTGCACCTCTTCCTCCTCCTGGTCCTCCTCAGCAGCTCCTGTGCAGCAGGTGAGCGCGGGAGGAGGGCGGCCTGGCCTGGAGGTGGGCGGGTGAGAGGAGACGGGATTCCTCGGCTCGGAGCCCCTGTCCTGACTTGATGGGCAGCACAGGAGGAGAGGGGGTCTCTAGGGAAGACGGGACTTGTGCCCCGCCAGGAGGGTAACATGACCCCAGCTACAGGGTCCTGAGCCACAGTTTTGGGTTCCCAGGGCCAAAGGTGATTTTGCAAGTAAAGCTGACTGAGGCTTCTCAGGCCAAGGCCTCCCAGGACTCCCGCTTTCCCAACGTGCTCCAAAAGGTAGTCGTTAAGATGTCTGCGAGTGCCCGCCGGGGGCTGGCTGGGCCGAGTGGGGTGCCCCTCACATGGTCTTGTTCCCCAGATCTGCTACCTCCTCCACCTCCCACCGGGGACCAACGTCACCCTCCATCACAAGGGGCCTTCCCACAGCCTCAGCTGCAGAGCCTGAGGGCAGCGGAAGCCGGCGTGGGCCCGGAGCGGGCGCTGGGAGCGAGCAGGCCTTGGCCTAGCAGGCCCCTGCCCTGCTGCGTGCTAATAAACACGTGAGACCCAGCGATTGCCTCGGTGTCCACAGGGTCTGTGCGCACAGGGCAGCCGGTGAGCTGCACGCCAGGGTCTCTGACTGATTCTCCCGTTCGCTGAGCAGGGGTGCCAACAGACTCCCCGCCTACACCACAGAGGCCTGGAATGGAAGCGAAGGAACTTCAGACAGACAGACATCACACACACACACACACACACACACACACACACACACACACACACACAC